CACTGTGACTAACTTTTGACTTCCTTGCTGCAAGAGCACTAGCCAGTGCTCCAGCCAATCCAGCATCTCCAGGTTGAGCTGCGCCACTGGCTCCTCCAGAAGCTCCTCCAGCAGGTTCCGCGCCAGGAACTGCCGCTGCACTGCGGTCCTTTTTCTCTGTATCCGAAACCTTCTTCAATCTCGCTCCTCCTCGAATATCCGCTAGCAAGCCGTCTCGCCCTGGCGCTGGTTTGGGCAGAGGCGCGCCGCCGCTCGGTGGGGGCGGTGGGCCAGGTGGAGGTGGTGCCACAGCGCTTCGTGAAGGCATTGGCGGCGGCGGAGGAGGCACAGAGCCAGGAGGCATTGGCGGTGGCGGCGGTGCGCCTGTGCTTGGCATAGGGGGTGGAGGAGGCGCTGAGCTGTTGGGCATCGGTGGAGGAGGGGGAATCGATCGTCCGGGCATGGGCGGCGGCGGAGGTGGTGTCGGTGCTACATTGCTTGTTGGGGGTAGAGGCGGTGGGACTGGTGCCGCGCTCGAAGGGGGTGCTGGTGTAGGTCGAGATGAAGATGGCGGTAGCGGAGGAGGCGGTGGTATGTTGTGGACAGGCGGTGGTGTCGGGGCTGCCGATGACTTCGGTGGGAGCGGAGGAGGCGCGGATGGCGTGTCTCTCGCGGGAGGCGGTGGAGGAACTGGTCCTCGGCTTGGGGGTGGTGGAGGTGGGCCGGAAGGTACGCGGTTGCCTGTGAAGGGCGGAGGTACACCGAACTTGCCTCCCACCGGCCTCTCTTCGTCGGGTACGGGTGTCTTGGGCGGGCGCGGCGGCGGTGGAGGACCTGGGTTGGCTGCGTTGGACGAGGCTCGCGATCTGCCTGGTGGTGCAGGAGGTAGATTGGCGAACTTTCCTGCTTCCGCAAGTGGTGGGGGCGCCCTGAAGACTGGTTTGGGCGGCCCTGGAGACGGTGAAGCTTCGCGCGGTGGTGATGGCGGCGCAGGGCTTCCTGAAGAGTTGCGATTGAGGGCTGCATCCGTCCTTGTTCTACGCGCTGGCGGAGGTGCGGGCGGAGGCCCTCGCTTGGAACCGCCTGTGTTCTGGGGGCTGAGAGATGCGGCCATGGGAGGCGCGCTCGGCGGGGGAGGCGGAGGCGCTCTGGATTTGCGCTGGTTGTTCTCATCCTTGAGCTTCTCCTCTTGCTTCCGCTGCTCGATGTATAGCTTGATGAAATCGGCGTTTTCTTCGATCTGGTCCTCGGTGATGCCCATGGCCAGCAGTTCCTTCAACAGGGGCTGCCATGATGGGTCGGTGGTGTCGATGGCGGAGTTGCGAGCACTTGTGGCGTTGGAGTGGGTGCTCTGCACAGGCGATGTGACGTTGACGGGTGGAATAATGGACGCTGGCGGCGGGCCAGGTGAGGAAGAATGGCGGTCACGTCCGGTGAGCCTTCCCAGCAGGCCGTGGCCATGGCCTCCGCTCTTTCCGTTGGCTGATGGCGCGCTGGTGCCGGCGGATGCGCTGAAGGGTTTGTTCTTGGTGTTCTTGTGGGCGTTCTTTTCGCGGTCGTCGAGCTTCTTCTTGAAGGTCTTGGCCTCCTTCTCGTCGGCAAAAGACAGGCCGGCGAGACAGTCCTCGAGCTCAAAGGTGTGGAAGAAGACGCGGTCCTGGTTGTACGAGAAGGTGTCGTAGATCTCCTGGTCCCATATGACACCGCGACTTTGGGGCTGCATCCGTCAGTCGTGCATTCTGTGCTGTGGCGTGCCTCGCACCTACCGATATGTCCACCATCTTGAGCCAGAAGGTGTTGCCGACCAGGTCGTTGGCCAGCACGACGGCGCCCTGCAGGCCCGTGTAGGTCCATCGGTGCCGGTCCGGGTAGGCGATGTACAACTTGGCGACGGCGACGGTGTGGATCTTGTTGGCCGACTTGGGCACGGTGCGCTTGACCGTCTGCTTGTCCTCGTCGGAGAGAATCGAAGGCATTGCGGCGTGCTTCGCGACCTCGAGCGCGGAATTGGAGGAGGTTTGGGCGTGCTCGAGTGCTCAGCCGTTGGTTGGGCTTGGGCGTGGCTGGTGGGGCGTGCTCCTCACTCCACTATTAGGCAGCACATGGGAAGAGTCGCAGTCGCTTGGTAAGCCAGTCGAGGCTGCGTGCGGATGGCGAGGTGAATGCTGAGGCGCCGCGTGGAGATTGCCACGGTGTTGGTAAGAAGAATGGCGGTGCTGGTGAAGGGGAGACGTCACTTGCGGCTAACCACCCGACTGGGCGGACAAGGGAGAAACCCATCCAACGCTTTCTGCCCCGTCACGTATGCCGACCCACAGCAACCTCATCCGTAATTCATGGATCCTTACAACGACTTCAAATCGTCACGAGATTCCAATTTCCTCTGCTCATGGAAAACGTGACATTGACCCAGCATGCCCGCCGTTGCACTCGCTGAAGGCATCGCGACCTTCTCACGCGACATTGCATCCGCAAGGCCAATGCGGGACCAGTACCCTGTCAAGATGACGACGTCTCAAGCTCCTTTATGCCTCCGCTTCATGCATACAGTTGTATGAGAAGACATGCACCTACCCAGAGTTCATGGCCTCTAGCGTCAATTGTCTTTGTAATGTTCGGATCCAGCGCCGCTGACGCCGACTTTCCGACTACAAGGCCTCCAGCAAACGATGACACCTTGACGGCTTGGCATCATCCCAGTTGATTCAGGCAACACCACCGGTAACATGGAAAATTGTAGATTGCAGCATCATATCTATTTCTTTACTTGACGTGCTCGCCGCAGACATGGATGATTTGTTTGATGGCTACATTGTGTTGGACGGCATAGGCGACTTCCTTGGGAACGGCGTTCCTGCCAACGATCCCAAAGCACCTGACGATGTTCCGCAAACGATACACCATGCAGGAGTATCGAAGCAACCCATACGACCAAAAGAAAACAATGTGAACGGATCTGACCAATCGTACGCTTCTCACGCAATGCACAAAACTATACCTAACTCACATCTAGCAGCACCACCGCCTCTAGCGGCGACACACCCGCACCGACAGGGTTACGACAGCGACGCGGGCACACTAAAAGTCGTCTGGGCTGCATCCCGTGCAAGCGACGCAAGATCAAGGTACCGCATTCACTTCCCAGTGCCTCGTCATATCACTAAACTGTGTTAGTGTCCAGAGACATGGCCTTCATGTGCGAACTGCGACAAGCGCGGACGTAAGTGTGGCGTTGCGAACTAAGAACAATATCTCACCAACATTTCTAGTGGTTTGCAGATACCCCGATGTATTCAAGCACGCACGGCGTGACTACATCGAGTCGGCAGTGTCAAGTCCTCGTCAAGTTGTTAAGCTTTCCGACACACCTACTATCTACAGCTCAGAAGATATGCAGCTGTTTCATCACTATCTCGTCTCAGCACATCCTTGGATCCCGCACGACTGGGAAGAGCTTTGGGTCACAGATGTTCCGGCAGCGTGCCACAAAGTGAGTGCAACCTCTGGCTCACCGTGCAAGAGACCTAACATCACTGACCACGCAGTACCCATATCTCATGGATGCTATGCTGGCTCTTGCTGGATCTCATCTTGCCGTTCAAGTTGAAAACCCACAGACTGCCCTGGCGGTCCAACATCGACAAAAGGCCATCGTTGGCCTCGAGGACGCCTTCGCTAATTGGCCCCCGACGGCTGAGGAATCGTATATCATGTTAGCAACTTCTTACCTACTGTGCTTCCAGTCAAGCTACATAGGTGACGGTTTTCTCGAACACTTTTTATCTTTGCGGGGATGCTCATTCCTCTCTCAGCTTATCATAGGCGAAGGCTTTCGCAGCCCTTTCTCTACACAGAAAGGCCTGGACACTATAGCTATGGACACCGCATTTACCAAGTTTCCTGAAGTCGACCAGGAACTTTTGCAAGAGGCTCTACTGTCTTTGAAATCCCTTTCCAGCATGATGGATGGAACTGGTATACATTCCATCGAGAAGGCTATTGTTGGCCAGCTCACCGAAACACTTCGACTTCTGCTGCACTCAGACCTGGAGATCGAAACTGACGAACTGCCAATACCCCGTGACTCGCCATTGGGTCTCTTTCCGTTCGCTAACCCGATCTTACCACAAGACTTCGGGCTCGCGTTTGACAACATCGACTGGGAGAATGTCACGGATCCACTCCCTGGCGCTCCATACCCCATCCGGTCTTTTGCAGCTATGATGGTCATCCTCACGATCTTCTCAACCTGGCCACACGAAGCACTCATGCGCATGTTTGACCGTACAAATCAGCTCGGCAACGTCATCATGGCCCACTTTTGCGCCGTACGATTCATTCTGTCGTCGATAGCTGCGCCAAAAATGGCTTTGAAAACCCCGACAAGGGCGACTGTTCAATGGAATGCTCTGATCATAGCAGCTATAGACGATGATGAAAGTGGAGAATGGACGAAATATGTGGAATGGCCAAGAAAGATATTACGATGTATGGAGGCTTGTTGTGAGAGACACAAAGGCTTTACCATGGATGACGTGCGCAGTATGCTGTTGAATGATCCTGGGGCGTTCAAAGAAGGAAGAGCACGGAGATACTGACCATCGAGACATCACGAATTGGCACACCAGCCTTGTATTAACCACATCGCTTGATCTGATTGCACTCCACTCCGACTTTGTGTTTACTAAGGATGACATTCACCCACCTCTTATTTTCCGGTACACGTTCACCCAAGTTCATCAGTGAAACTCTCGATCCGTGCAGTACCCTGCAGGCGCCGCTGCACTACGCCCACCTCTTACAACACTCGTACTATAAATATGGCTCGATCGCGAAGGAATCGCACCAGTCCGTTTGCTCAAGTGAATTAAAAAACCATACAGTCGGAGCTCGTTGGCTAGTCCCCGCTATCGCTCTCACCTTCTTCGACCTCGACCAAGAAGTACTCCAACTCTCATTCTCCTGCGCAAAGCGAAAGAACCTAACGACTACCAGAAAGAGCAACACCCACCACCTTCGCCATGCTGGAAGCTCTTGTGATGGCCATCTTGAGGTTTCTGGCTCGCATCCTACTACTATGCATCAACTTCTGGACTTTCATCACCAATCTCCCTGCGAAGTGTACAGGCCTTGTACTAGCCCTTCTTGCTTTCGACCCAATCGCGTGGCTCGGTTCGGCGATAGCGCTTGCCCTATTCATGGCGGTTCGCTCAGGTTACCGGATGATTTTAGAGACCGCGAAGGTCCTCGCACTCAGAGAGGAGCTCGAGGCTGAACTCGAGCGTCATGTCGCGCGCAGAACAATCAGATGTACGAATTATTTTCCACTTATGTTAGACGAGTGACTGACATTTTACAGTCAACCGGGTGCGCGCAGGTACTTACGACGAGGGAACTGTCGTGCAGGGTATCCACATCATTGCAGCGGACAAGTGGGACATGGTTATCTGCGGAATGGAGATTGCGGGTGGGCGGCGAGATGGGCATTATTGGGCTCGCATACGTGGAGCGGATGAGTGGATCAAGTTCGGAAGCCAGCTCGTCATCAACGGCAATGATGTTACCGAAGAGGTGGTAAAGTCAGGTGGGCATGTGGATCTCCAATGGGCAGAGACAGAGACACCACCAGAGTACAGACAAGACGCAGAGAGCATCGAGATATAGCGAGGGTTCCACCGGTACACAGGGCTCTTGACGACTACCCAGTCGTCAGCCCAATTCTATTCAAGCATACCGGTTCTACAATCCTAGCTTTATCATCGCATTTACACCTACACCCCAATTCCTTTCTCCCATCCCCATCACTATCCTCGTACTTGGGTATTTTGATCCCCCTCGCCTTCTCCTGTTCTGTACTCGCGAAAGTACAAACCTGCAAGTCATCATGTATATAACCCCAATCACTAAAATGATGCAGTTCCTGCGGCTGCAGCAACATAGCAGCAGCCAGCGAATGGACGGGTGCATCCCCCCACCTCTCGTAGTAGAACCCGCCGTCACGGTCTAGATAATCGAAGACGGCTCGATAGGCATCCCCACGGAAGAAATCCATATCCGCAATCTCAAAGTTCGACCAAAAGTGACACATGTTCCATAGATCACCCCGCTCATCTCTATTGCGCAGCGCAGCCAGCATGCGACGAAAGGGCCACGGCATCCAGCTTGCGTCGATCATGGCGGTCCAGAGCGTGGAGGTGGGGAGGCGGTATTCGTTCTTGTAGAGGGAGAGTTTGCGGAAGAGGGAGGGGACGGTTTGGCCGCGCTCCCAGAGGGCGGTTGTGTAGCCGTAGCGTTTCTTGTGGCGGGCCATTTCGACAAAGGGGTCATAGGTTATGGCGCAGGTGAAGGATATACTGGGTTCGACGCGCCAGTAGTATTTGTAGGGGAGGAGGGCGGGGTGGTCGTAGAAGAAGCTGTGGGGTTGTTGTCAGTGATGTGCGCTGAGTATGGGGAGAGGCTTGGGGTGGACGATGCGACGTACCCAGATTGAAAGCGGCACATGTGGTGGTAGCTCTCTAGTCCTCCGTATTGTATACCCCGGTTCTTCATATCCTGCATGCTCTTCTTCGCACGGTCTTGGTCGATCCATTCGGGATACCCCCACATCTCCTTGGGTATAACTTCGAACTTGACGTCTGCGCCTTCCCCTACTGCTTTGCCCACTTTCCGCTTGAAGTCCTCAGTCCATTCTTCGTCATTCAGAAAGACCCACGGATACCCAAAGTTGTCGTTGAACTGCTCCTGCACGCTTCTCACGCTCGAAACTGCGCCCTTGACTTCCGAGTTGCGCGCGAGCATCATGAACACGGCGGATTCGCGCGCAGTCGTGTTTAGGACGGGGTCCTGACATCCTGTATAGAAGGGCGCATCGAGGGGCGGCGAGGGGCGGGGGACATCGTATTTGTGTACGTGGACGTATGCTTCGACGAGCAACAAAGAAGCGATAGCCAAGATCAACTTCCAGTGCGACTGCGCTGTGCGCGATAGTGAGCGTAGCGGATGGCTCCCTGGTCGCGTAAGAAGTTTGGGCATAGCGACGAACCCATAATGTTTAACAGGAAGTCGAGAGAGGACACCGTGCGAAAACGCGATGAGACTGCCCAGCCCATTCCTTCTTCACGGGTGGCTGCATGAGAGCCATCATAGTTGCTGCGCCCGTCCCCTAAGGCCAGATACGGCCTAATTGTCCGCCTGAACAGGGCCGTTCTAGCCGTTTGATTGATGCATCCCCGGACCCCATGGGCGTTAGCAATTGACGGTCAGAGGAACAAACACACGCTTGGATCTGCCCTTTCTCTAGGGCGGGACGAGGATGATAGGGACACATGGATATCAATGAATGATGTAAATTAGATGTCCGGCAAGACCTCCAGGTTCTGCTCGGTGTGGTACGGTGATGGCAGTACCAACTTAACAGCCAAGGGACCTCGGAAGTAGATGCAGGGTTACCTAGCCATGTTGGGTTAGCCCAGGGCTATCAGGGGGCCTAAACTCGAAAGAGACATGCATGTGTTTACGTACAAATGGCGATTGAGACTGCGTTCTTGGATATGTGTAGTCGACTGTAATGCTTTAGAGAAGTTTGGAATGCGGCCTTGTGGGCTTGCGCGAAGTGTTGTATTTGCTTGCGATTATACTTCGCCACGTGCCAACGCATCTATACATTTTTTTTTAGATCAATGTCTACGGCAACACAGACATTGAGCTGCAGAATGCATCGAAGGTTCGTTCGGTCACTGCATTTGTAAAGCAACATCTTTGTGCCATCTGGGAGGACATAAAGTAGTAGCTTACTTGACGCGCAATGGAGACAGACAACGTGAGTTCAAGAGAGAAGCATCATCAACATCACTCAGCAAGAAGAGGCTTAGCAATCCACCAATCGGTGTGATGTTCGTCTTGATCACCAAGAAGAGAAGAATACGAAGCAGGTGTTGCAAATTACTCAAAGGGGCAAAGCATACATACAGAAGCTGAACAGGGTATCGGGTCGTGCAACAGCGATCCACAATGACGTACAACAGGCGGTGGTTCGCAGCAATACGCAACAATCCAATAGAAGCGGTCCAAAGTGTCACAAACGACACGAGAAGGGTACGGCATCCGAAGCAAACTGAGACATGCGCAAAACGAGGCGTGGGTATTCCCAAAAGCAAAGGGTCCTGCAAAACGCAACCAAAACGCCATGAGCCGTGGGGCTTTTCAATCTCTCAGGTATCCCCCAGTGTTTTCCATGCCGCGAGGCTTTCCAATCTTAGTAGGTATAGTGTGGGTATCCGTGGGGACGAGGTATGTCTGTTCGTAGCGGTAAAGGAGTGTAGGTAGGTTGGTGTGTGTAAGGTAGCTTGTGGTACTGGGAGGTGCCGGTCCAGCGTACTGGAATGCGTTCAAATCCGGCGGTCTAAACGGTCGACGCGCGACTTGAAGCCCTTGACAATCTCTCCAATGCGACGGACTTTGTCGAATTCTACTTGGAGCTCGTCGATTTCGCGGAGGATGGCACGGAAGCGGGCGATTTCAGCGTCGGCCATTTGCATGGCGTTGCCGGCGCGGTCGTACTGTATTTGGGTTGCTGTTTGTGTCTGCTGGGTGAGCTGGCCATTGTCAGTACTACAACACGGCGATTCGAGACCGTCCACCGCGGTGAACATGACAACTCACATACTGCCAGCGCTGCTGGATGGAGTACATCAGACGGTCAAAGTGGGCGCTGAGCGCCTGCAAACTAGAAGGATCCAGGAGGAGACGGCCTTGGCTGGAGGCGTGAGAGGCAGCGCGCGAGGAATTGGAGCCTTGCTGCGAGGCGGCAATTTGCTGCTGGAGATATCTGCTCTCGCTCGAGTTGAGGCCCAGGTCAGACACTGGGATGGCGGACATGTGCACATAATTATCTTAAGAACATGGTCGATCGGGAAGTCTGCGCCCTGGCTTCCGCGTGTGTGACGGCTGGAGAGGATGCGGGCGGAGCAATTGTTACTAGTGGGCTACGACTGCTGGGAAACGTTACAGCAGGCCTGCGTGGAGGAGGAAGGGGAAATATGCACGCTGATGTGGTTTGGGATGAAAGGGCGAGTGAGATGCGCCAAGCGGCCAGTCCGGCTCCCAAACCCTCTCACCAAAAAGCAAAGGCCTGCGAACGCCCATCTATCCCACACCCTCATCTCCTCTTAGCCGGCTGCAGCCCTATGTACTGCCGTCCCCATGCGCCCGTACGCAGCCGCCCTGAGCTGTCGCCCAAGCTGCACATGCTGACATCCGCGACGCAGCGCGTATCGCACCGGGCGAGCAGGCGGTCAGCGATTTCACCCACTGCGACATGCTGCTGAACCACGACTGCTTGCTTTTGCGCCCGTACGACCATAGCGCTGTGCCGCACTCGAACTTGTCACGCCCATTAAAACGCGGGATAGTGTCTCCGCACCCACACCCTCTCCACAATCAGCGACAAGGATGCATTGATTGTGCCGCGAGGTTCATGGGTGAATGTTGACCCCACCAGCTCGCATCAGGAGGGGTAGGGTACTCCTGGCAGGCCGTGGACGAACCAGATGCAGAAGGTGACAATGGTATGAGAGCGTGACGACCATGTGCCGCTGGAGGAGCACTCCAAGTATCAAGCCTCCATGTTCCTACTGCCCGTGGTATGGCACGCGGTGCTTCGCCATGGCGTTGGTGGATGTTGTCTTGCCGAGGCTGAATGCATGCCAGGCAATGCTAGCACAATGTCTCCTGAACGCGTACATTCCGTGTCAGATTTTATGCAAACTCTCTGGAGTCAATGTAGCAAACTTAGTTTTTCGTTGAGACAGAGTAAGCTGATCTGTGGATTATTCTAGACTCAAACCCAACACATGCGCTGTAAAAGAAGTCTTTGTATCATCTAATACAGATAGTTGTAACACTCGAAGAAACTACGCAACATACAATACAGCCCTTTCGTGGCTGCATTGTCTGTTAGGAGGCGTCTTCGCATGTTACAACCACTGGCCAAGATGTTATTCGATAGTCTCTAGCTGCGACAGATACTAACGTCGTCGATCATCGTACAGATACAGAGGTATAAAAGGAAAAGAAAAGAAAGGGGGTATATACACCAAGCCGTCCAAACGCTATGCACAAATGAAGGTAAAGAAAAGTACACCCACGCCCTATAAGGCGTAGTTCTCGGCGTGGAGGAAAATCTCATCGCGCCCACTGTCACTCCACACACTCCTTTGGAGTTGCGCAATCGTCTCACTCACACTAACGCGCATGGTGGGGGGTCCGCAAACGAACACACACGTTCTGCGCCCAAAGTTCTTGCTCAGTCCCTTGAGTAGATAGGGTATGTCCGGGCGTCCGTACTCGGTGCTCCAGCCATCCTTCTTCTTGACGGCCGCAGGTAGAAATGCGAAGCGCATGAGATTCTTTTGGAACTCAGTGGGTGTCGACGGGAAACCGAAGTCGAAACCCTGCCCGCCTTCGGTAGGGTTGTGGGAGATGTCCGGATTAATCGCGCCGGAACCCGAAGAGACGGCTTGACTGATGTCGAGGGACAGGTTGCGTTCTTGACGTCGGGCAGCAAGGCCGCGTGGCGCAGGCGCTATAAGATCGGGGTTCGAGCTATGTGCTGATTCGGCAGAGCTTCGCCCGCTGTTGTAACTTGGACGTGGTGGTGCGAGGTG